TCTTTCTTCCTAGACCTATCAGCCTAACAGTAGCCAAATGCTGGGACCCTACTCCCAGGAGTTATTTCACCATCCCCAGGGGTGAGTATGTAGTTGTGCTCTTTGCTGGGTTCCTGTGGAGCTCTCAAGGTCTAGAATGTTTTCAGCCATTTTGTCGTCTAACAGATTTCCATTCCCTACAAGTTTGATACTTTTAAGTTCGGTTGTGTTTATTTGCTTTTTGTTTTGGGAGGCAGGGGTTTAAGATACTCTTTCTGAGAATCTAGTGCCCACTGAATTCATGGGAGTTTTTCTTTTGATTCCCGTGGCTTTGGATGAAGCTTTTAAACTTTTGCTGGATATATCCTCGTAATCTTAACCTTTCAATTCATAGAAAGTTTGGAGGATAACTATACTTCAGTGTTAAAGAACCTCATTTTGTCACATGTACACTTCTTAGAATTTAAACGGAATATTTTTAAAATCTGAGGCAAACAACATTGTTTGATACACATAAAACCTTTTGAAAATGATCTAGTTTTAAAACTTCTGGCTTAATGAACCTTTCAAGAGTGGTAAAAGATCTGTGCTCGTGTGACAGACACAGCTGCCTCCTACTGGTGAGTTCTCTGCTTATGATATTGAAACCAGCTTCTTACCAATCCTAAGAAATTGAGGATAGCATTGAAATTAATGCAGTAGACTCGTGCGGACTGCAGGAGCTCGCTCAGTTGAAGTCCTTAGGAAAACCAGCATAATCAAAAGAGAAGTCCCACAAATCACATATTTCAGATTTGCTACAGGGAGAGCTTGTGTATCAGTTTGTCCTTTGTTCAGCGAAGGTACATGCATTATTATCCAAGGCAAACAACTGTTTGTTATCCTGTGTTGTAGGCTAAACTGGTTCTAATAATGTGTGTGAGATATTTTGTGGAAATACCTAACATAGGCAGAGGTCTTTTACATAATTTCTGGTTTTAAGGCAATGGAACAACAGCCACTATAATTCAGAAGAAGTAATCCAGATTATAGGGAAATTTGAGTTTAGCTTTAAAAATTACTTGCTATGTGGCTCTTCTTAAGGTCTGAGTGTAATTTTCAAACTCTTCTCTGACACCAGTCTCTTCAAATGGTCTTTATATGTCTTGCCTATTTATTTTGCAAGACTATTCCAGTCCTAAAAAGTTTCATTATGGCTGCTGAAAACTCTTGAGAGGGGAATTCCATGATGCCTCATTTCTGCAAATACAGAGCGCCAGAGTTACTGTTCTGATTCACCTTCAGCAGATGATTCACCTTCTGTCTGAGTGGTTATTTTGGATCCAAGACCCTTACAAATAAGGAGGGATCTTCCTCTCAGCTGGGGCAAAGCGTTTGGTAGTACTTCACGTCATGGCAAAATGAGAATCTCTATCTCACTGTGTAGAATAATAGTGAAATATTATTACTGGACTGGTAGCTTTCCCACAAGGGCAAATATTTCACTCCTACTGCCATTACAGGAACAGAAGCATCATGGTTTTATCCTATTAGGCTAGTGCGGCAATTGCTAGAGGAAACTACTGCTGGCAAGGTGCTTTTTGTTCTCTTGTGCTGGTGCTATTGGAGTTGTACTATCAGAATGACAAGGACTTGTGCACCCCCAAAAAATTCCTTCATACTCTAGGTCTTAGTGTTTACTGCAAATCTGATTCCATTTGTCTTTTTCTCCCTTTCTGGTTGTTTTGCAGCTGAACCAGTGAGGCCAATTGACCCTGCAGCATGGATCTCTCATACCACAGCCATGACGGGAGCGTACCCCCGTTACGGTATGAGCCCCTCCATGAGCATCACCACATCTACCAGCTCCTCACTAACAAGCTCAATTCCCGATTCGGAAAGTAAGTCACACTGCGGCCAGCACAGGGCAGGTGTCTTCTGCTCGGGGCCAGCAGTGCAGAGCTGTGCGCAAAACCGACCCCAGCCACAAGCACGATGAAAACGACAGCCGCCACAGAACTCTTGAATGCTTTCTTAAATTTGTAATTCTTATGGGGAGCATAAAACCTGTTTCCAAAGGTCAGAAGTTAATGCAGTGGTGTTTTGCCAGGGTTCACATTAAGGAAGAGGTGGCTTCTGGTCCCTTTTAAAGTTACAAGGCAGGCCTCCAACTTTATCCCCTCAGATGAATGTGAGAGCTTCCTCCTTGCATTTGACTGTTTTTTAATAAATTTACACAATTTATTTCAGGTAGATGTCACTGGGTAATAATGTTAGTGTATCATTTAGAGAATCTTCCACTGATATTCACATAGCCGCCTTTTATACTTTTTTATACTTTCAGAATTTATTGAACAAGATAAAAACAAATGTAATGTCCCACGTGAAATTGTGGTTAGAGTTCAGCCTTCTTTCCTGGTTTGTCTGTCTATGGCAGTCTCTAAACTAGTCATATCCCTGTGACCAACAAGTTTTCATGATTCCTTCTTGGAAATTTTTGTTTAAAGAATATACACTCTTCCTTGCTTTTACTCTTCCTTTGCTTTCTGATGTAGGCATGGGATAAAAGCTAGCTTTTGCTTTGAAATACATGGCAGTAAGGCAAGACCAATAAACGAGGAGCATGTGTCTGAGAACGCTATCCACTGAAGTCCTAGTTCAGGAAAGTGTTCATATTTAAAACAGCACTTCTATTTACTTGATATGAAAGTTTTGAGGTACTTTACAGTTCATAAGTATGTGTTTGTTTCCTGTAATATTAATATGGAGGAATTTCTCTAGAGATGCAATCTATCAAATTTGTTCATCTGTAGCAAGGAGATTTATTATATTTGTTTATATACACATAGAAATCTTGAAGTGGCTTTAAAGTTCTGAGGAGATTATCTCATTTGTTGAACAATGCTACCTCAGTATGCATTCGTTGAAAGCCAGATAAATACTTGTTTAACAGGGATGCTTAAGTGTCTGCCAGATCTGGAGTCTAAATTTAGGACTGAGTAACTTTTTTCATTTTGTAAGATTTTTCCAGAGAGAAAGGGAGGATATAATTTAGAAAAAACAACAAAACAAAACAAACAAGAAAAATAACACTTTGAGGATTTTAAAGACCAACGTGGTGTTGGTGATTAGTGACAGAATCTTCCTGGACAAATGCCTGGCTGAAGCATGAAAGTTGCATTTGCAGGGACCAGTTAAATCCTATCAGTCTACATAGGTATCTGCCTCTTTTTCTTCTACCCTCTCTCAGATTTTATAAGCACATAGTTCCTGGAATTGAAAGGGCAGTTATCCTTTTTGTAGGTGTAGTAGCTCAGTGCCTCTTTAGATAGTAGGCAGCACCACTGAAGGGGAAATACATCCACAGTAGAAAGCAAGTGAAGCACTTACCTGATGACTGCTTTATCCTGAGATGTGTTTTCAGCCTTACAGGTACTAAGGATTGCTGGAATCAAATGTATCTTCTGATTGCTGTCAAACAACAAGAGTCTGTTACTCTGCATTCCTCTTGAACTATTCATGTATTGTGTGCCTTGATATATAGTGATGTGATTGGGAAGTGTGGAACACAGATGCCCTCTCAATCATACTTTTAAAATAAAGGTTATTTGGGAGCAGAACCACCTTTCTGGAGACAGCTTCTCATTTCTATGCCAGTGACTTACAACATTTCCTTTCCTGAATGCAAGAAAACACGGAGTACCCCTGACCTTTATTGTGACCTTCTGCTTAATGCTCCTTCCTTCAGTTCAGTCCTGTCACCCCCCTCCCTGAACACTGCAGGCAGCCCCTCAGGGCCCTAGGTACAAAGAGGACCTGTCACGTGAACCTCTTTGGCAGGAAAGACGAAATTGGGGAGGAATGGAGGTGGAGAAAGAGAGGCGAGGAGAGACTGTGCATTGACATCTCAAAAAACAAATTGCTTCATGCAAAATGGGGTTTTCTAACTTCATGTTCCAGTGCAAGATTCTCTGTTTCAGTTCCTCTGAGGCTAGAGTCACTGGTATTTGAAGCAAATATAATAGCTGCTCTACAGCATCTGGCTGTGAAAGTGGAAGCAGTGAATTAATGAAGTCATCTTAGAGAAGTCTGTTTCATGGTTCCTTGTTTTAAGTATTGTGAATGTCTGCTGCTTTACTCTGTATAGCAAGGCCAAGATAATGTCAATGGACTGAATAACTGCATTCCCTCTGACTAGCATTCCTTTGCTCTCTAGCCTCTGGATCAAAGGTGAAATTCTCATATCTGAAACATTTGCACAGCCACCATCACACCAGTGCTAGTGATTAAAGTAGCTGAGGTTTTGGGGCCCTACGAATCACCACCACAAAGTAGGAATTATTCAATGTTAGCTCTTTATTTTCTCAGGTGCATTTCTTCAAAACCAGGACTATGCAAACCAAGGCAGACTGAGGTGTTTCATAGTAATTATTGCTTTAAAAAGTACCTTGTTCTCCAGCAGTGTTCTGGCTGATGCAGGAGAATATTCTCTCACAGTGGTTTGCGAGTGTTGACCTTGCTGCCTCAGTCAGTGCAAACTCTGCTTCTCACTTACTCTGCTAAAGGTAGATTTTTCCAGCCCCTTTTCTTCCACTACAGGACCCCTTTCTGCAAAGCGGTGCTGTCCCATTCCATGAGATTAACTTCAAGTGTTTCAATGTTTCATGAAAGTCTTGCTTTTCCAAAATGCAGTCCACTGACATTGTTGGAAAGTTCTCTTTTTCTCTTGCATGGACTTCAGAGGATTTTGAATTGAGATTTCAAACTATTTCTGCTTAATAGTATTCAGCCTGCGGTAGTGCATAATTTCCTGGGGCCTTTTTGTTTGGGGAAATATGTACTTCCTTACTCAAATAAGAATACAAGCCAGTGGTGGTATTACACATGGTAGGACTTTGTTTTCCTGGAGCATACACCTCTTTTATTACCAGATTCTTCTAATGGGAAAAAAATGCCACTCAAAACCAATAACCAAAGCCCTGAGAAAGCTTTGCGATAGATCTGGTTCCCCAGAAAGAAGTTACTGTCTGTGCCGTTTCTCAGATTTGCACAGATCTGTGCAAGCGGTCAGGTAGTCAGGCCCACAGTTGACTGAGTTCAGATGAAAGTGGGTGCATTTTCGATACATCTTAGAATTTTTCATATTTGTACAGCAACTAGCAGACTTAGAAAATATTGATAATCATTTGACCAGTGTTGTTCTTTATAAGGATTTATATTTATTATATTTTATTTATCAGGATTGCAGGTCTCCAAGAAAATACAATTTATTGCTCTCCATGCTTGAATATTGGTTTGTTGGGTGTTTTTTCCCCCCAAACATACTGCTTTTTGCCACTAACCAAACTAACTTAAAGCAAAAGCAAAATTTTAGTGTTTATTCAAACTTTGTAAGTATTGAAACTGCATGCATAGAGGGTCTGGGATATTTTCATGCATATTAGCAGTGCATGTATTTGAAAGAAGCATTTTCAGTTTTCATTGTTTCATGTTTTTACCTTTTGTCAAAATTTTGGGTTGCTGGAAAAGGACAAAATTGGTTCCCTTGTGCTTTTGAAAGGTGGGTGATACGGGGAGCTGGGAGAAGGGAGGGGTGGAGAGTTTCTGAATTCCTGCTAGCTGAACTACAAACACAGGACACATGCTCGATGTGAATTTTCTAGGGCTGAGAAGATGGGAGCAGGAAGGACTGGGTGCTGTATTCAATGAATATAGTCATCTTACATAGAGTCAGGATGATTGAGTTCTGCACAGAACACAAGAAGGCTGGTAGACTCTTGGACCCAGATTCACCCCACTGGGCTTTCAATATTACATGCCACTTTGCCTCTGTGTAATGTAGAGAAGGAGTTTCTAAAGGAACTAGACTC